TTTACTTTCATCCACTCAGCAGAACACCCTTTAAGCCACAAGAGCCCTGTGCAATTAACTGGCCTGGAGCCTTTTGCTCCAGAACATTTCTTGAAGGCTTCCAGCACAATGTTGACAGGATTTCTCTCTGCTTATATATGCAGTAGTTTGTGAAGAGAGTGAGGACTCACGTTTTATTTTCTTCACCCTTTCTCTGGAGCACCTGGGAGGCAAGCAGTGTCTGAGCTTGTTCTTTGGCACAGCTTTCAGTCAGGCCCAAAACAGACATGGGGTCATTACAGCAAATGTTCACAGCAAATCCTCAGGTCATGCATTGCAAGTTAGAACTGAAGAATTTAGAGCTTAAACGCTGGGAAATTCTCTGCAACTGTATGTGATGCATCACCTCTAACGTGGTTTTGCAGGGCTATTTCTGTTTTTCCCAAATAAGAGCTAGTGAACGTTTGCTACTGTGGCACTAACAGTGGATCACATTTGGATAAGGACTTGTTTGAGCAGTGTCTTGATTCTGCTGCCACTGTGTGGTCAAACCCGGTCTGGTGCTTCAGGTACTCCAGTTTCTTACCAAGATTTGCGTGGAGCCAGCAGAGTCCTGCACCCAACCTGTGGTTCTCCTCCACACTGCTGAAGATGAGAGTAAGCCCAGGAATTAATGCCCTCTTTATTTGTCTTACTGGAGCAGCCAGATGCACCTGCAGCAATAAGGGGCCATTGAGCTGCGGAGGTATTAGGGCAGGGAAAAACAACAAACAGTCCCTTACTCAGCTCATAATTTGATACTATGACCATATGTAACAAGTAAATAAAACTGACGTGGCAAGGATAAACCTGCTCATAGACATGTGCCTGAACTCAGGGCCTTGATGAATAGCTGCTTTTGACCGAGCTGTTTGAAATATAAGCAGAAAGGAAGGACTGTTAGTAGGATTTCAGTAATCCCACAACTCTCCCCCACCCCAAGATGATGGCTTCTGCTTGTGTTTTTAGGGCTGAAAAGTTGTAGATCTCTCACAGCCTTTCACATTGTTGAGGCTTCAGCAAAGCATGCTACAGAACCTTTCCCACTGAGCAGCAAAGCTCTGTAACAAATAATCAAACACAGGTTACTTAAAAAAAAAATGAAAAAAAAACCCACATTATATTAGCTTTCCTTCAGAAAATAATATAGTAATCATTTACGTTTTGCCAGTTCAGTAATATCCAGGAGGTTTCTCAGTCATTAGTTCACTTGAGTGAATTAGAAATGTTTTATTGTAGTAATAAACAGTGATATGTCTTCAGGGACTTTCAAAGCAAGTAAAGTACAAAACGTAAATTATTCTGTGGTTTGGTTCTGCATTCCTTGTTCATTCAGGATTTTTGCTGGCTTCAGGGAATGAAGGAGCAAAGCCCAAATATTTGTAAGGAAATCAGGTTGAAAAAATTTGCCCTGAGCCCAAAGATGAAAAAGAGTAAAATGTCAGCAGGAGAATTGACAGAGGGAGAGGATTCCAGCTATTAAGGGAACAGTGTCTGAGAATGCCATGCGGTACTTTTATTAACACAGTACAAAAGGCAATTTAAATAAGTAAAAAGGCCTCTTTCTGCAGTTTTGGAAAGTTCTTCTTTAATTTAGGTGAAACAAACATATGTTAAACTGACCCACAGTCATACGATGACCTCAGGTCCGGTCTTGGCTTCACACTTAACAGCAAAGCATGTATGTACTCTCTCTCCCACCTCCTACGTTCTGTGCTATTTAATCCATGCTGCTTTGGGGAAGGCACCACTTCTGGGGGGCTGTGTGATGTCTAGGCTAACACAGACCTGGGCTAGGGTGGGATTTCCCCACTGCTGGGACACTACCGGCAACACCTGGCCCTCTGCTGCCTTCTGCCATACCTCATTTCTTTCTTGTGCTGACCCATTTGCTCTCTCTCCCCACTGGCTTTGAGATAAAGTGTGTTTATTGCTCTGTGTGTTTGCAGCATAATGGCATCCCGGCACAAATTGGTAAGTTTGATTCTTCCTGATTGAGTATTTTTATTTATTTGGCATCTACATGGACTGTAGACTTAAGCATGCAATGAACTGCAGATCCTGGCTGGAAATTGTGTTGACTGCCCTTTGATATTGTAACAGAAAGAGAAAAGGAGGAGTTAGCGGCAAAACTGCAGCCTTAGGTGCAGGTTTGCAAATAAGAGTCACTTGCAGGGACTCTCTCTTCTGTCAGCCTGCCTATAATAACCAAGTTCCCGGGAATTTCCATAATTTATGAGACTTGGTCTGCAGCTGGCTGCTTAGGCAGAGCAGTGATAGTAGTGAGGGTGACAGGCACACAGCATTTGCACATAGGATGATTGCATAAGCCACATTTCCTTTGGAAATTGAGCTAAAAATAGAAACACTTTCCAGTGCCAGACCTGTCTGTCGTAACTGGTAAAGGCTTTTTGTCCATTAATGAGTGTGCTGAGCTCCTCATGCCTCTTCTGGGCTAATGTGTTTACTTGGCACCTTGGCTATACTTTAATGGGATTTTGTGAAATACTTTTAATTTACTATGATAAGGAATATTGGTGGGCGAATGAATGGAAACGTGAATTTATCACATGAACCACTTTCTAGCTCTTTTAAAAGAAAATCACTATTTTTTGTTGTTTTAGGTAAGCTTTGGTCTCATCTTGTGTAATATTTCTCATTTCATGGATTGAAATGTTGTATTAAAGCGTAAATGGGTTATAATGTGTTGTGTTATCCACTGAAGGAGGTGCAGGCTTAAGGAATGCTGCAGTCAGGGTGTGTCTGTATGCACAACAACAAATAAATATTGCAGTGACCTTGCACAAATTCTTGCATGGAGTCTCTTCGCCTTTTCCCCTCAGACCCTAGTCTAGGAATGGAAGCCAAAGGGAGGGAAAAAATGAACCTGTGCTTTGGGACACTGAAAACCACCCACTAGGTCTGAAAATCCACACACTTCTAAGTTAACAATATTTAATAACAAAAGTTCCTAACTGAGGCTGAAATGCTGCTGCAATGACCGTTTCTCCTCTGCACCAGCCCGGGCTGCTGAGCTCCGTGCCTGCTGAAGACGCCACGAGAGGGCAGCAGAGACTGTGATAAAGCCACCGCCGCTCCTCCCCTGCCTTAAATGACTTTGAAACTAGGACAGCATCTGACAGTTGAAGGTTAGATGGCAAAAACATGCTGTCTCTTTTCTAAGAGACCCATTTTTCCCGTTCTTTTGCTTAAGGCTCAGCTTTACGTACGGCCAGGTTTCTCTGGCAGTGTTTTCCCTCTGATGTACACTTCAGCCCTGTGCAGTCCATCAGAGCGTCTACCTTTCTTGGCTGGGTTTTAACTGCAAATAACAAGTTAGGGAAACTGCTCATCTAAATATGCTTTGGGGCGTTCATGATGCAGAACCCAAACTGTATTTCTTAATTTTTTCCCTTTACTAGAAATGTCTTGTGTGGTGGCTAGTGTATTCTCACAGTGAGTCAGCCTGCAGTGACACCTCAGGGATTTTTATCCCTTCTGTTGAGTGTTCTCAGCAAAAAGACAATGAAAGAGCCTGAAAGGAGCAAGAGTGTCCGTACTTCTAAAACACCATTGCTGCAATTGCAGGGGCTGTCAGTGTCTTTGGCAGCAACCAAAGAGACAGCAGGTGAGTGCAACAAGCAGGGAACGGGAAACAGTCCTGTGTCTGCCATGGTGTGGGCTCTGGACGGGCAAGTAGCATTAATTCCTGGCCCCAGTCTTGCAGAGGTCAGTTCAGACTTCATCACAAGGGGCAATCTGAGGTGCTCTTTTATCTTATTCCTCAGTGTGCAGAGAGTGGGTGAAAAAGGGTCAGCAGGGCACATTTGGGTTTGGCACGCAGAGATTCTGTCCCATTGAATGATGGAAATGAGTGAACAAAATGGAATCAACAGTAATACCATGCTAACCAACTACACTGGGCCCCTTTCTTGATGCAGACACCGGTTAATTTCTTAAATGGCTCATTATGGATTGTGTGGAAGAACCAGATACTTCTTAAATGGGTTTTGATGTGGCAAGAGAGATTAGAGTGGGTGAACTGATCAAATCTTGTCCAGTATTTAACTGATTAAAGTAAGTACTATTATAATTACAGAGAAGTTATTGAGCATTTTGGATGACAAATCACGGTGCTTACTCCCCCAGACAGCGCATTGCTGTACCACCATCCCTGTGCAGAAGGATTACTGAAGCACTTTTAATACAGGAGATGTCACAGACCTTGTAACCTGCTGGGGGTGATGCCACCACAATATATGTGCGTAGGTCTGACAAACTAAGAATTGATTTACAACTCCTGTTGATTAGGTGGGAGTAAGAGTCTGGATGGTTTTGAAAGTCCCTACGAGCTTTCTGCACATTTAGGTACTTCAAAACCTTTGAAAGTCCACCCTGTAGCATACTATAACTTGAGATATTTGTTTCAGTTTTGAAGAAAACCAGCTCCAAAGTCTGCAGAAGGTAACCGTGGCAGCATTATTATTGGTGGCATTTATTCTGTATGAGCAGCTGCAGATTACATTATTTAATATCTGTTTTATCTGTGTTTCAGAACTGATTTTAGTGTTACAACAAAGGCAGGCTTGTCTTATGAGAATCAAAATTATGCTTAATTGAATTCTGCTTTGGGAGTTTCTGTCAATCACACAGCTGTGTGAATTGGAAAAGACACATGATTGCAACTATGATTAACTTCTCTGGAGTTGCTCTGAGTACTGTATATCACATTTCATAAAGAGATGTAGTATCTCCAGAATAATTGCATTGTTCTGAAGGGTATCTTTTGAATGTCAAAAATAACTCCATTTTCTTTGAGGGGACATAACGGGGATAAGAGGAAGAGACATTCTTAAACTGAAGGTTGTGAAGATTTCTAAAATAGGGTCAGCTGAAATAGGGGGTGACTTGACACATGTAAACAATTAAGGAAGAATTAAAGAAGGGTGTGTGTGACAGCAGGAAGGAACTTAGGGCCATGTGGTGCAAATTTTCAGAGAGATGAGTGTTTTGCTTGAGGGCAGAATGGATTGTTGCAGGGATTGACTGTGACACCTGTGTCAAATGAGAGTGAGGAGAGCATAGCGAGTTTTATGGGCATTCGTAATGCTCTGAAGATTACTTGATTTAACTTTGGAAAAGTCAAGGTGAGTGGCTTTTTTCCCCCCTGTTGCATTACATGGATTCACCAACAGAAGTTCTGCATTTGTGTCTTAACTGATTGGAACATCAGTAGAGACAGTGAAGTTAGTAAGAGGCAAAGAGGTGCCCCGTGTTGGTCTTCATCACCATTTAAAAATTGGCTGTAACTCCTGTAGCTAGTTACCCAATGCTAATATTCACTTTGCTCTTATCTCTAAATTGCATCAACTGTCTCCAGTGACATTTAACTTACATATGTGAAGGGATTGGCATTTTTAGATTGTCAGAGTGTTATTGGATGAAAAAGCTGATTTTGTCACGGGACATCTGTTTTATTGTTAATTAGATGAAATAGGAAAGACATCAGAAGAGTACACACAGAAACTATTTCATAGTTCCTGCTTAAAATCTTGCTCTAATCCCTTGAAATTAATGATGCTTTGCAGATTTTCACATTTTGATGTGAATTTCATTTAGGAAGTTTCAGGAACAAATGACAGAGAGTTGTTATCCATCTGTGCCTCTGTCTTTACAATTCAATTGCTCCCTGCCATTGTACAGTCTCTCCTTTCAAAACTATCAGAAGAGAGAAGACAACCAAGGAGTTCACTTATCATTAAAAAACAACCGAAGCAGCAACTTATATCATCATCACAGATCATGTTTTGTGCTTATCAAAGTAAGAATCACTATTTACATTGTCCCATCAATCTGCGTTGATCTTTTTGATAGTTGTGAGTCTGTGGGTGTTGAGATCCTGTCTTCTGGTGATTACTTGGCTTCTTCTGCCTTCCTGCTATTTATTTATTTATTTATTTTTGGGCAAAGTATAGTGTAAAGACTCAAGCAAACGATCTTTGTTTTCAGTTGTTAAAGGTCTGTTGTGTTGATGAGCTGCAGAAGAGGAAGCAGGTATAAAATATGCTCCCCAGGAGAGACAGAGAAATTGTCCTCTGTGATAGCTGGTGATGATATGTCATATTATTTCAGGATGAAAGCTGATGAGGTTTCTCAGGGGAATAAGGGAGAATAAGGAATTAAGAGCAGCAAATGGGACTACTGTAATGATGTGGAAGGTAAACTGAAGATGGGGAGAGACACCAGGTAAGGCTGAGGTGGTCGCACCTTGCTCAATTCCAATAACACATCTGCCACTCTGGTACCGAGTGCTGGGTGGATACGGAAGATCAGGGAGGTGTGCTGTCCTGCAGGAAGAAGCAAAGGATGCATACCGCCTTCAGCAGGTCCCTGCTGAGTAACTTCTAGAGCTGGAAAGGAGAAAAAGCTCTTCTGTGGTCCCTGCTTTAAGAACTGTAAGGAAAGGAATATACAGAGACTGCAGAGCGAGTCGTGGGCTGTGCGCTTGGCGTTAGACTCTGTTCGCTCAGTGCTGGTGCAGGGAGGAGATGAAGTAGAAACTAGAAAAGTAGAATTTGACTGGGGGGGGAATGGATTTTAAATCCCTAAAGTGATGTTAGCAGAAAAGTGAAGTGACTTTAAAAATGTCATCCTCAGCTGTGCGCACACGGCTCATATTAAATTAGGATTACAGGATGGAATTAGACTTTATCACTTTATTATTTAACTTTTTTTTTTTTAATGTAGCATCTGGCCATAAGATGTGCAGTGTATTAAAATGAGAATGTTAGACCATGCTCTTGGAAATGTCCTGAGCTGAACAAAACTAGGCTGACTTTTCCCATTTGCCTAATTAACTAATAAATTAAATTAAAAATGGATCTTTGGGAAGATAAGAAAATATCTGAAAATTGGAAAATACCTTCTATAAAAGAAAAAGTGACATGAGAGGAGAAATTTCAATAATGTCAAAACAAAATATTCTGATAAATAATAGATGAAACTTTTTCAGAAATACCAAAGTATTGTGGCATTTTAGCAATTTCTAAAATAATTCTGTAACCTTATTTTGGAAGGATAACTTTTTTTTTTTTTTTTTTTTTTTTTGTCCTCCAATTTTGTAAAACAGCAGAATTTAATGAAACCTATCAGTAAAGCCAGAAAAAAATCCCCTCCCCTCCCCCCCCCCCCCCCCCCCCCCCCCCCCCCCCCCCCCCTTAAAAATGTGGATTGAATAAATTGTTTCAGTTGAATTCAAACTGATTCCTTGTAGTAGATGTGTAAGACATAGGGACAAACATTATTTGGCTGCTTGTACTATTGTGCATTGCATCTAGTAAGTTCTGTGCAGCAGGGGAGAGGAGACCCATTCCAGAGCTCTCAGGTATGTGAGCACCTGCTGAGGCACAAGGAAGGAGACAGGGTCAGGGTTGCAGGTGGAAACCCTGATGCAGATAGGACAAGGTCCATGGATCTGTGATAACACCATGGACCTGCCGATGCTGTTCACTTGCTCTGTTGTCTTTTCCATCTTGCCCATCATCTTGTCATTCCACCCCATAGTTTGTTCATTAATATTTATGCCTCCCAACTCCTAATATCAGGTGTACACACACATCTTTGGCACTCCAGCTCTGCTACGTGTTGTAGATTTCACTGGCTTCTGTAATGAGAAACAGTCAAACAGTCTTTGTTTTCATTGTATTTTACTTTTTTTTTTTTTTTTTTTTTTTTTTGTGAAGCTTAAAATCTGCAGTGTGAGTGTTTGGTAACCTTGCTATTTACTCAGTAAATCACCCCCTTGAAATCCTCGAACTATAATATAACCACAAAGAAAGCAGAGCTTCTTGCTTCTCTGCATGTAGACATTTTGCAGTGAGCGGCCTGCCCATCATTGGAAATAAACCCCTCGTCTCCTGAAGCAGTTCACAGAGGCTCTATTCCTCCTTGTATTCCAGGAGCTTCTGTGGTTATTAGAGGGAGGTGCAGTTCTGGAGTTGCTGTGCAAACAGAGAACTGTCCCATTAGGCATTTATTTTGTGATAAATATCAATAGTGGTTACTTTGGTGGAATGCGAGAGAAATTCTGAAGAAGGATGTCTGAGCTAGCTATGTGCTGTTCTCCTGGCTTTGAATGTATAAAACCCTTTTAATTATGGATCAGAATTCCTACCCCACCCCTCCAAGACTCTCATAGAATAGTCAGGTAAGAGTTGACTTCTATACTGACCTCATGAAAACATTGCAGAGCCATTATGTATGCCACTTAGAGGGAGGGTCCTGGCCCTCTGTTCCAAGTACAAAGTGCTCATTATTATCCTATTCCTAGCCCTGGAAAGGTTCTTACTACTTCTAATATGTAGTATCCATTAACTAAAAATATAGCTCCATTATTCTCAATGCTGTACCCTGTCCTTCCTCACTTTTTGGTCTGGGACTCATGCTAGGGATAAACTTGGCAAAATACTTTCATTAGTGTGACTAAGAGAAGCTTACAACATGTTTCATTTAAAAGGGAGCAAGATTGATACCCTTTATTAGTGAGCTGGAGCAATCTCTGCCTTTTCTTCTAAAACAGCTCCATATCTGTTTGGCTCCGGAGTGCACAATCTTGATGAATTGTGAGTTAACTTAATGGAGAGGAAAATGTGTGTAGTGCTGTGTGAGGGCAAAAGGGAGAAATACAGAATAAGAATCGATGGAAGAGAAAAGAGACTTGATGGAAAATGAAATGGCCTCTTCCCAAAAAAGTTGATGAAGAGAAAATAAACAGACTGGCAAGCAGGCTCAGAGAGGGAATAAGAGAAACAAGACAGTCATTAAGGTGAGAGATGGATCACAGGCACAATGTATAGATTTTGATTTTGAAGAGCAGAAAGTGTGGGAATACTTGGATCACAGGCTTTGGTTCTGGCCCATCTTTGCTCAAATTAAATAAGAAAAGTTCAGAACAGGAAAAAAAGTGGAAAAAAAAAATCCCCTCCTCCCCTGAAGTATAGGATCTGAAATAAACAACACTAGAAATTTAAACTCTATTGGCAAAATGTCAGGATATTTTTGAACGTTAGTGTCTTTTCCTGTTGTTCCTGATTCAAAAGCAATTGCTTATGAATGACAGTTTCTTTATTTTATCTTTTTACCCTATAGATGTCAGCTAAATCTGTGTTGTTACTTCTGCCAGGACTGCTGTGACAGTTTAGACTGTCCTGATGGCTTATTAACTAACCTCTGATTTCACAAAATCTACCGCTACTAATAACACAAGCCAGAAAAGACCTTGCTTGGCTTTCAGAGCTGGGCAATTACCAGGAGTGCCTGTTGGGGCTGAGAGGGGAAACACGTGAAAATTGAACTGACTTGATGAGGAGATTGCTGAGAGATGGAGCAAAAGAGCAGGGCCCTAAATATCAACGTGCTCTCGTGGCTGTTCCAGGGAATTTTGCTTGTAGGAATGAGTAGAATATAAAGACACATCCCAAACTTTTAGATGCAATAAATCAACCTCAAATTCCTTTTACTAACTGATGTGTATGGGACTATTCCTCAGTAGGAAAATGTATATAGTGGTGTTCCACAGAACCTGAATATTTGGCTGTTCACATGGGAAGTAAGGACCATGGAGGATACAGATGTATTTTATGGAAATCATAAAACATTTTACTTTTTTCTATTTTATATATGTGTACTATATCTTTATATATAGTCTAAGAAATTTAGTGGTTGTGACAGGAGACTAAAACAAGAACTATCAGCTACATGATGTTCAAATAAGTGTACACCTAATGGGCATTAACACTTATCTCCATGTTACATATAGAAGTTCTGCACCTCAGTGGGATACATTTGTTTATATAGGGAGAAATATTTCTCATTAAGTTGTGCTGGGGTAGGTGCTGGTGTAAAACAGTGGCAGCTGTGTTTCTGAATCAGGGTGTTGGATATTTGAGCCCGCAACGGATGTTGTGTTTGTGTTCAGTGCTGGCCAGTATGCTGACATTAGGAGCCATGCCATGGCTTTTGAGGTTGAAATTAAATCCCACAGAAATCACTTCTATTTCTTTTCCTCTTTCTTTTCATTTAAAAAAAAAATAATTCTGGACATTTTTCAAGACCCTTTCCTTTGCAGCCCTGGGAACTAGAAATTAAA